CTTTTTTCTTAAAAAAAACCAAAACAAGCAAATAATGTGAATATCAAGATGGAAAGAATAATTCTCTGATGTCAAAACATGTTGGTCCCTAAGATGGAAATTTCCAATAGTGGTCTCTGTGAAACTAAAATACTAATTATGATTAAAATTATTAACATTGTATTTGTCTTTTTGATCCACTACTTGGGCATGGCTTCTTCTCCTGGCTTAAGACCAGTTATGGTTTATTTGTATGTTTTTTTGGGAAAAGGTTATATTGTATAGGAGAGAATTTTCTTGGAAAAACAAATGCTTCTTTATTGTTCCAAGGGCAGGGTGAACCAGGACATACATGTCAGGGAGACAGTGAGACTCCATTCCTGTCTATTTTTCATCCAGTGGGAATAGGAGGCGCTGAAGTCTTTGCAGTTACAATACATTCTGGAATGAGATCATGGTAGGAAAGAGTCCTCCCCCCACACTTTTCTCCTCATTCCATTGGGATGATGATATTGAAGCTTTCTAACTTTTCCTAATTAAAATTTGAAGAGAAGCCAAATAAAAACATTTGGGAGTGGTTAGGAACTCTGGCCAAAATAGGGGATTAGTTGAAGAGGAAAGAAACACATATGCAGTGAAAAGAAGCAGAGTTCATGGACAGCAGTGAGTGGAGAGGGTTGTGTCCCAAAAACAGAGTATTATTTTTGTAGGAGATGATGGAGATGCAATTAACAACCAAAATCAGAAAATAAATGGATAGGAGATAAGGATGGAAAGGAACTCAAATTATTTGGTTTTCAGATAGAACAGCTGAGCAGCTGAGAAGGGAGATTAAGGAACCTTCAGTTGCTGTTGTACATCGGTGAATGAAAGGGAAGGATATGTAAGATATACGTAAGGAACTTCCATTTATTCTCTTTCTTTCTCACTTTGCAGGGATGGTGGCCTGTGGAACTCAGATGTTGCTGTGCCTCCTAGTTATTGTTGTCCTACCATCTGGTGAGTAATGTAACACTGGCAAAATACAACACTTCTTCTGTTCCACATTAAATTTGTGTTAGCCAATGGTGTGTGTGTGTATATATATATATATAAATATATATATTTAATTGGACTACCTCTAGAGGCAGGATTTGCAGAATTACTAAACTACAGATTATGGAGCAGCTGTCTTTACTTTTCTCTTTAGTGTATTTTTTATGGTAGGAAAAATGATGGATTGAAAGATTGGAAAATCCATGTGGATTATGATATAATCTCTCCACTTCCCTACACAAAATGTGAAGGAGGCAAAATGTACACAGCCTGAGCCTTACCTGCAAGCACCCCAATCTTCCTTAGATAAACTTGTGAGCTTATATAGTGTGCGTTCATACCAAATCAGAGAAGCCACCCTACACCCCAGTATATTGTGCAAATGAAGTATCAGTTACTATTTATTTTGTTACATACTGAAATGAAACAGTCAGCAGTTATTCGGATTGCAAGAAAAAAGCTCACTCTGTTATTTGCATCTTACAAATGATATACATTAACTTCTCCCAACAGATTCTGTAGGGAAAAGGAATCTAGTGGGAACTGAGTTGGGGTCCTGCATGGCTGTGAACTTGTATCTTTTTTACATTATAACTGTGGCTGAGTTCACAAGTTAAGTTTGTCATAATGTGCCTTGTTTGATTTGATTTAGTACTTTGTGTGAGCCATGATAGTGTGGTTTATAAAACATGCTTAATGCATTAGCAAGCTTGTTATCCCAATGGTAGGTTATTCAAGAAATCATAGTAAATAAACCATGATTTAATATAATGTGTAAATCTTCCTTGTGTTGCCTCTATTGCTTCACTCATGCTGCATGGTCTCAGATTAAATTCATAGACCTACTTTAAATTAACTGTATATGAGCTTTCAGTATAATATTTATTTTAAGCATTTTTTTTCTAAGGAATCATTGAGACCTGTTCTATGGAATGGCTGGAATTTCAAACAGAAAATGCTTAGATTTATCACTCAGTAACAACTCTAATTATTCATGCAAGAACATATGATGATTAAACTGATATAAAACAATATATAGCTGTGGTTTTTGTTTGTCAATTCCTGAATTCTCAAACAGAATTCTGCTTTATAATTTCACCCTATACAGGATGAGTAGTGCTTACACATGCCCATCAAAATGTCTTTTCTGAGGACTAATAGTTTCCAGGATATCTTTGCTGAATTCATGTTTTGTTTTTGGTTTTTTGGAGCTGAGAGTTCTTTGGTGTTTTTAATAAATATTTATTTTTAAAAGTGTAGATTATGACATTTGAGCTGGGGAAAAAGCACACTGACAGATAGTCCAAAGAAATTATAGCACCACAGAAGCTACAAGCCTGCTTCTATTGGCCAAATATGAATATTCAAATTGCCTCACCTCTGCTTCTATTCAGTATTAATTTAGCTACTAGAACATTATGAGCCGCATCACCTAACACAAAATTGTGGCACAATTCAAAATTTGCTTTTTCTTCAGAATTCAACAGAAATATGGGGACTTTTTATGTTTGGCAACTATTACTGAGATAGGGAGAAGAAAGTTAGCTATTTTACTTTGCAGTAATGCTAATTTTGATTAGAGAAATTTATTCTCATAAGTATATGGCCATCAAACATTTATTAAAAAGAAAATTATGTCTTTTGCCATGATTGTATATTGTGGTCATGATCCTTGACCATTTTTCTTCTTTTGCAAGTATCAAAGAGTAGAGAGAACTAACACATCTTCCCACTATGCTTTTCCCCTCATAAAATGAGCAAATGCATCCTCCTCCTTACCTATATTTTAATGTAAAGAAAAAATAACTTATAAGATCCAGTCCAGTCATCTATGTCATATCTAGCTTTAACTGTGATATTTTCTAGGTATCTTGGAATAGATGATGTTCCTTGCAGCTCCCTGAACCAAATCCTACAGTTTACCATGAAAGTTAAACTATACAAAATGAAAATCAATAATGGGATTACAATGGCTAAGATAATACTTCTTTAGCAGCCTGAAACTGTAGTTCCATAACCCAAAAAGTAGAGGGGGAAAACCATGACTTTTTTGTAAGAATTATTTTATGTTCGTGTATACAAATAAGAAATAACTTTTTTCTTTCTATTTAGAGTGGCTTTTGCTGGGAGTTGTTGCTCAAACAACAGCAGGTACATTTTGATTGATTTTATACTAATGCTTAAGTTGATGTGTGACTGTATGGAAATTCTGACCTAGTTTCATACATAATATATTAACGTTTGATATAATGTAGATATTTTGATATAGTGACCAAGGCATCAAGCTAGAAATCCAGAGACTAGGAGTATTTGTCCTGCTGTAGGCACAAATCCAGCTGGGTGATCTTAGGTCAGTCACTTTCTCCCAACTCCAGGAAAGAGGAAATGGCAAGCCATTTCTGAAAAAGTTGCCAAGAAAGCTTCAGGCACTAATCTAGGCAAAGACACAGACACACACAAACATATTTTTTTTTAAATGATTCAAATAACTGAATCCTTCATTCTGAAGAATTATGCATTTGGCTTCATTGTAAATCCATAGATTTGTACAGAGCTGCGAGTTGAAAATAGGGGCAGCTACTCTCTTGTACTATATGCTCTGTTTCCTACAATTCAGACAGTTGGAGGTCTGAACTGAAGTTGGTAAAACTGTTAAAGATGAAAGCTTTTCCCTATCAATTGAATTTTGGGTTGAAAATTGCTACTAAATTTCTGATTTCAATCAGGCTTAGCTGGAGGATGATCTCATTTTTTCTCTCCAGGTTTCATAATTCATTTCTTAATTCACTTTATCCTCTTGTAACTGCACTGCATAACTTAATGATTCAAGTGATTAAATTCATTTTTCTATATTGTTATTCACAAATTGTGATTAAGGTGACTTATTCTTTCAACAGCCTGCCCCAGGCATACTTGCAATACAAATCTTTACATCACTTATATCATAGGTTCTTCCAAAGGGTTTTGACATACATGGTTTGGGGAAGATATCAATTCCTCTCTTGCTCCACTCCTTTTTTCTTTTCATTCCTTCCTTTCCTGCTGTCTTTATTTATTCTATTTTTCTCATTCAGACCAGGAGTCATTTGCAATACAAAAGCATGAATATTCTAGATATATTTCAAAATTTAAAAGGTAGAGCTTTCCTAAGGGCAATAAAATGAAAATGGGAATAAGATTTCATCAGCACACCTGACTTATCTCTAAATATGCTAACATGCTAGTCAGATGTGCATTACTGTCACTGCTGCATTATTGCATACTGTGCAACAGATGTCTCCAAGCCCATTGCCTCTTGTTTCAGGGCCTCTGGAATTACCCACAGATCGAGACAATGACTTAGGTGAGTTCTTCCTACTTTTTCTACATCCATGGTAAGCATCAGGACTGACTCATGTACTGCATTTACTACATGTATGGCTTCCAAAGTACTGTATGCAGTTTAATAGGATTACAGAATAACAGAGTTGGAAGGACCTTGAAAATCTTCTAGTCCAACTCCTGCAAAGCAGAAGATCCTACAATTCCAGATAAGTGGCTGTCCAGTCTCTTCTTAAAAGCCTCCAGTGATGAAGACTCAAGTTTAATGAAGTCTGGGTCACTCATGCCTGCATCTTCCCCTTTATGTGCCAATTCTTCAAGTGGAGCTCTGTTTTGAAGATCTGGCTTTGACAGAATCATCAGCTCAACTTACAAATGAGAAGTGCTGGAGAGGCAGTGTGGTACATCAAAAGAGCACAACTCTGACTAATCTTTTTCCTAGGTCTGTCACTTGTTCACCAGGATACTTAAAAAAAAATCTTACGTATAACCCAGTTAAAAATAGTTGACAGTTTGTGAAAAGAGGTTACTCAGTGTGGTGCTCCAGTGTACAACACAACTGCCCACTTCCCAAATGCCTGTTATTCGTTGCACTATAGACAAACTCTCCTTTCTGGGGCTGGCTGTTATAGATGACACATGTGCAGAAGGGTTGAGCAATGTTTTGCGCTGCTTCATCATTAATCCCATCCCCACCCCCATTGTGCCTGCCAGCCGCCAGTTGTCCTAATAACAGATTCCATGACAAGCTCACGGAGATGACTTATGGTGCAGTGAATGGCAGGGACATGCAGTCAGGGAAGGCAGGGGAGGCAGAGCCTCACCACTGTCATCATGAAAAGAAAAAAATGTAAAAGGAAAAAGGCAA